CCAATTCCGACAGATCCTATTTTTAAATCTTAGGCACAATCATTTCATAGTTCAATTTAAGAACATTTAGTAATACTCTCCTACTCTACAAATAGATATAAAAAAACACATAATAGAAAATTTTAATGCTTAAAAAAGAAAATCGACCAGGCACTTGCCTCTGAATAGTATCTGGGAAAGCTGGACAGATGGGCAGCAGATGGGTAATCCCAAAGGGCCAAAATGACCCAGCCTCCAACATATGGAGAAGATCCTGGATTAGCTTCAGTCCCCACTCCTGCTGTCTCTCAGGCACAAATATCAGACAATCAGCGATGGCGGAGTTTAATACACCCAAGGCCTTCTCTGGGGCAAAATGGGAAAGGAGAAAAATGACTCTAAGAAGAACAAGAGCTAGAAGGCCAAAGGGCCATGAAAATCATAGGAGGGGTCAAGAAAGAGGCAGACACCGAAAACGGGAACTACCAGTGGTACTTGAAAGTCCTTAGGCAAAATGACAAAGGAGAGCAAACTCAGATGGAATCCTGGGGTTTAGAGTCATGGGCCTGAGCCCACTGCGTAAGCACTGCACCAGGAGCTGCGGTCTCCATATTCACCCCCTGGCTTCATTAGGCTACTGGCTTCCTTGTTTTACTGATTTCTCTGGGATTGGGTTTCCTTGCCTGGGGAAGGATGGCTTGGATTTAAATTACTGCTATTGGTGCTTCTAACAATTTTTTTTTATATTGTGTTTGTCTTTCATAAGCATGGTGTCCATGCTGAAAAGTCTCTTTCAGACACAGAAATGCATTATAGGCCTGACAGACAGCTCAGTAGGCTGAGCACTGCTTCTGCATGCAGGAGGCCTGGGCTCAATTCCTGGCACGCAGGGTCCCCTGAGCACCACTGGGGGCCACCCTGGAGCACAGGGCTGGGAGCAGCCCTGAGCACAGCGGGTGTGGCCCCAAAACAAAAACAAAAACAACATACTAACCGTCCCATAGAAAATGGCAATATTTGGCTGATTTCTTGGTCTTGGGATGTTCAGCTCATCAAGCCATCTCCCCGAACCAACAATACTTATTTTACGTAAGTAAAATGTTCTGAGTCGAGAGTTCGAAACATTTTCTCTTGTTGTTCAATGAATACACATAATCAGCTCTTATTTGAAATCTCAAATGGCCCATATTCTTTCTCATGGTACTAGGACATGATGCCATATAGACATATGCTATTTGTAGGAACATGTTATGTCCATGCATAGAGGAACATCCATGCAAACTTAAAATAATTTAGCTCGAGAGGGTCCCAACAGTGTCCTCCTGCCACTTCCTGTCTCGTCACCGTCACAGACCCATTAGCTGGGCCGGCATGAGAGTATGTGGACAGAGACACCGAGCCGGAGTCACCACAGGCAGGCCCAATCTCAGGCTGAGAGCTATGGAAGGCTGCAGGCAGGGTGAGTTCCGCCCCCCCAAAAGGCCCAGCACCCCACTCACACCCGACTCCCTCGGGTGTCCAGGTGGCTGAGATCCATGGCTAATCTCTGAAACACAGCAAGTGACTGAACCATCGCAACCCCGCAGCTCCTGGAGCAGAGGTTGTGAATCTCCCAGTCATAACCGCCCAGTCGGACCACAGCAATGCTCACAACCGCTCTCAGCAATGGGAAAGCTGTATAGATGCCCACTCAGTTTACTGAGCAAAAACAATGACACAGACACCCAAACAGTACCTGAGAGCTCAGTACAGCCTCAGACAGTGAGTCTGCCCATGTGAGGTGAATGTTGCAACAAGCAATATAAAATAAATTATTTTGTGCCTGCTTAGGGGGCAGGCTTGGGAAGCGGGTGGGAAACTGGGGGCACTGGTGGAGGGAAGGTCACGCTGGTGGTTGGCTCAATGTTGGAACACTGAATGCCCAAAACAACTGTATTCTGAACAACCTTGTAAATCACGGTGTTTAAATAAAGACTCAAACATAAAATTCAAAGAAAAAAAGTATATGGAAGTCCTGGGTCCAATACACAATGTACCATAATTATTTTTTTTAAAGGGCAGGGGGCTTGGGCAACAGCTGACGGGACTCAGCTACTACTCATGGCTCAGGGATCACTCTTGGAAGTGCTCAGGAGTACTGGGTCAGCCATAGGTAAGGCAAAGTTCCTTAACCCCTGTACTTTCTTTTTTGACCCTCTACCATACATTTCAAGGAAAACTTCAGAAAGGCCAAGAGTCTAAAATGTTGCATCACAATGAAACAAATTGGCAATCTAAATCCATGTACTGCTAATTAAAAATACCCAACATAGTCCCTTCTCATTATACTATAGATAAAATTATTTTCATTAACTCAACAAATATTTAATGACATTCTATTGCTAGGGAAATAATTAAAGGGTTCTTGATTTCACAACAATAATACTAATGAAATAATCACCCAAGTGTAAAATTGCAACCAGGTTATAGTTGTATATTATATGTGTGAGAGGGACTTTATCAGGTGGTACCCAGGGGTTACTACTGGTTCAGTGATTAGCGGTCACTCCCCATGGTGCTTGGGGGACTCTATAGTGCCAGACTAAACCCAAGGCTTCCACATGCAAGGCATGCCCTCTAGCTCAGGAGTGTTCGCTATCTGCTTCATCCTTAGAATCAGTACTGTTTTGTTTTATTTTGGAGCCATACCTAGTGGTGCTCAGGGCTTACTCCTGGCTCTATGTTAAGGGATTACTAGTGACAGTGCTTAGGGACCATGTGGGACTCAAGGTATCAAACCTCGGTGAGCCACATGCAAGGCAAGAGCCTTACCCTCTGTACTATTGCTCCAGCAATGGTCCTTATTATGTGTGTTAGTGTAATGTTGTTGTTGTTGTTTTTAATTAAAAAGTTCAGGGAGGGGCTAGAGCAATAGTACAGCAGGTAGGGCGTTTGCCTTGCACGTGGCCGATCCAAGTTCAATTCCCAGCATCCCATATGGTCCCCTGAGCACTGCCAGGAGTGATTCCTGAGTGCAGAGCCAGGAGTAACCCCTGTGCATCGCTGGGTGTGACCTAAAAAGCAAAAAAAAAAAAAAGTTCAGGAAAAAGGATCTAATGATTCACTAGTTTTTAAGATCTCAAATAAAAAATAATTTTCATTTCCCTTGATATTGTCAATACCCTTTAACACTAAAGTTGTTTCATTTTTTTTTAACTTTTTGGTGGAGAAGCCACACATAGTGATGCTCAGGGGTTACTCCTGGCTTTGCACTCAGGAATTACTCCTGGCTGATTCAGAGGACCATACGGGATGCCAGAGATTGAATCCAGGTCACATGAAAATCAACTGCCCTGCCTGCTATATTATCATTCTGAACCCCAACATTAAAGTTTTGAAAGAATAGTCAAATTAGTAACCTCCAGTGGGCCTTAAGAAAACTCAGTGCTCTACATGCTAAGAAACTGCTCTTAAATGCATTCAGTCACTCAACTACCTGGAGTTGACCCAAACCAATAAATCCCAGCTGATCAGAGGTGAGCCTCTTAGATACGAAAACACTGCCAATCTAGACCACCCTTGACATTTATGAGAAAACAGCGAAACTTCATTAGAAATAGATGCAGAACTTGTTTGTTCATTGCAGCACTCTTTACAATAGCCAGAAACTGGAAGAAACCTGAATGCCCAAGAACAGATGACTGGTTAAAGAAACTTTGGTACATCTACACAATGGAGTACTATGTAGCTCTTAGAAAAGATGAAGTCATGAAATTTACATACAAGTGGTACAATATGGAAAGTATCATGCTAAGCGAAATGAGTCAGAAAGAGAGGGATAGACATAGAAAGATTGCATTCATCTGGGGGATATAAAGTAACAAAATATGAGATTAATACCCAAGAATAGCTGAGATCAGCACCAGGAGGATTACTCCATAACTTAGAGGCCAGCCGGGTATCCTAGAGGAAAGGGCAGTTCAGATAGAGAAGGGAGCACCAAATAAAGGGTGTTTGGAGGATCCTCCCAGGAGGGGAGATGCATGTCGAAAGTAGACTATGGACTGAACATGTTTGCCACTCAATGCCTCTTTTGCAGACCACAACACCCAAAAGAAGAGAGAGAACACAAGGGATTGCCCTGCCACAGAGGCAAGGGGGGATGGGGGGATAGGGGTGGGAGGGATATTATCCATGGTGGTGAAAAACGGGCACTGGTGGAGGGATGGGTATCTGATCATTGTATAATTGAAACCCAAGCACAAAAAATTGTAAATCTACAACTGTAAAAAATAATAATAATAAAAATAAATAAATAAATAAAAAGAAGTAGATGCAGAACTTTCTGGCTTTCCTGGAAGGACATTTCTATGACGTCAAGGAGAAGACAGGTCAGTTTCCAAATCTCACAAGTTGGCCAATTCCTCTCTGAGGGCTTGTTCTCTGACACCCCACCTGGAGCACAAATTTCCTCCTCCCTGGAAACGCTCGGGATGACTGTGCAACACTAAATCTCATTTTCCACTCATTACACTCAACTCTTACCAGCATAAAACCTGTCTTCTCAGTCTCCTCCATATTCATTAACGTGAATAGCACTCTGAAATTTCAATGCCAATTTTCATAAAAGTACATGCTTTCGATCCTTAAAAAAGCACGTCGTTAAAGCATGCTGGAATATGCCTACATCAGCCTGCGACGGGTACAAATGCAGACCAAATGACTTTTCGAACCAAAGAGTCAGGTAAATGAATGTCCTCCTACACAGTTTCCTTTAACACTGGACTCACCCGGCACCTACAGAGTTGAATTCCTAATGCGGCAAAATGACAAATTACACACATATGAGTCACTCATAAGCACCGAGATGCATGAACACCAATAGACTAGATATCTAAAATACATGGATGATTCAAGTTGAATAGAGGCCACAAACCTAAATTTCAGACCAGAAAACAAAACAAAACAAAAAAAACCCATAAATTGCAATGAAGCATAAAAATCTAACTCTGATACATTACAATACTCGCATGCATACAAACCTTTAAAGCCTTCAGGATATACATCAGAGAGGAATTTAGTGTTGATGTCGCCTTCAATGAAGCGTGAGTTGATAATCACTTCCCGAAGTAATGCAATATTATGTGTAACACCTGAAAAATAAAATGGTATCAGAGTGAACTGCAGAACAAGAAGTCGGCAGAAAATCCCAGTCTTAGGCCAGAGATTGCTCCATGGGTTGGAGCACATGCTTTGCATACACGTTCGAGCACTGTCTAGTACCCCCAGCACTGCCAGGAGTGACCCCACACATGAGCACACAGCTGGGAAGAGTCCCTGAGTACTGCCAAATATGGTTAAAAAAGTAAATAAATATATATATATTTTTTTTTTCAAAGTTGGAGCTGGAGAGATAGTCCAGTGCACAGGGCAATTGCCTTGTATGTCGCCAACAAGGTTCAATCCCCAGCATCCCATATGGTCCCCCACTAAGTACTGCCAGGAGTGATCCCTGAGTGCAGAGCCAGGAGTAAGTCTAAGCACCACTGGATCAGGGCCAAAAAGAAAAAGAAAAATGGGGGCTGGATCGATAGCACAGTGGGTAGGACGTTTGCCTTGCACGCGGCCAACCTGGGTTCGATTCCCAGCATCCTGAGCATCACTAGGAATAATTCCTGAGTGCAGAGCCAGGAGTAACCCCTGAGCATCACTGGGTGTGACCCAAAAAGAAAAAGAAGAAAGAATTGCAAATGGACCTCCCCAGCACCAATTTAGGGAGCTGACGATCAAATGCTGGATGCTACCAGGTGGAGGTGGAGGGATGAAGATCAGACTGGAGGTGACACAGAGATGGTGCCAGATGGCTGTGGGTACATTGGTGGGGGACTACAGTGACTCTGCACAGTAAAACTATAGACTTTAACATGTTGTCTAATCCTTAATATATTAACTAGGAGAAATTCTATGTCAAGTCTATCTTTCTAAGGAGTGAAAAAACAAAGCATGTGAGAAAGAACTTGTGGGGGACAGAAAGTGCAGGGGAAAGATCCTAGTACACAATGACTGGTACAAAATTAATTTAAAATTTTTAAAAAATGGGGCTGGAGAGATAGCATAGCGGGTAGGGCGTTTGCCTTGCACGCGGCTGACCCAGATTCAATTCCCAGCATCCCATATTGTCCCCTGAGCACCAACAGGAGTAACTCCTGAGTGCAGAGCCAGGAGTAAACCCTGTGCATCGCTGAGTGTGATCCAAAAAGCAAAAATTAATGAATTAAATAATTTCAAATAAGTAATTGCCACAAGAGGGACAAGAATGGCACGGGAGAATGTTAAGATTCTAGAAAGTTCTAGAGAGGCGGTGTAGGGAATATTTATTTGAGAGATTACAGAGATGTCCGGTGAGCATGAAAGAAGGCACATGGCAGCATTTCATATCCAGGGAAAATAGGCATAGACCTGGCCACTCTAAGAGGGCAGGGAAGACAGAACCACGTCCACTCAGAGAGGCTCTTGACCTTCTTCCAACTTTGTTAAGCCACTGCCAGGTAGTGCTAACCCAGGCCATCATGTGATCTTGTTACTAAGACAGAAAATCCCTCACTTAGAGGAAAAAGCACAGAGCAAGCCAAGAATGTTTCAAGCGCCCAGATTACCCTCTAGCCTAGATAAGCCGTCTTTGTGTTTTGTATTCTTTGGGGGTCACACCCTGGGGTCCTCAGGGGACCAGGCAGTGCTTGGGGTCAAACCTGGATTCCTGAATGCAAAACATGCCTTCAACCCCTTTGAGTGGTCTCCCAGCCCCGGACACCCTATGTAAGCTTTCAGAGTTTTAGTTTCCAGTTGATAACTGCATGACAATCCTAGCATGTTTTTTGACATGAAACCTGGGAACAGATGAGCAGAGCAGTGCAGTGCCCAACCTGGAAGAAGGTGGTTATTAATGCACTCATCAGCATCCTTCTAACTGAGCACTCAAAGAGCTGAATGCAGAGTGGAAATCATAAACACCAACCCCACTGCCTCAGCTCTGATGGACTTTCACTGCAGTTTCTTGGGCTGAAAACCCACTTTCACAAGCCTCAGCACTGATGTCTAGGCGGTGGCTCATCTGCTCAGAGCAAACTAGTCCAACACCTAAGAACCTGTGCAAACACCCAGAGGCCCCAGAGGCATTTCTCCAAGGAGGGTAGAGAGCATGGACTTGATGTTTTCAGAAAATGTAATTCAAAGGAATGATCAGCAAATATCAGTTTACCCTTTGGATAAGAAAGAATGGAGCCATTTAACCTTTCAAACCAAGTATGGGTTATTCTTTCTTTGGGATGGGGGTCACACCCAGCAGTGCTCAGGGCTTGCTCCTGGCTTGCCTGGGACCCTGTGTGGTACTGGGAATCAAACCTGGGTCAGTCGTGTGCAAGTCCTTGCCCCGTGTACGTACCCTCTCTCCGGCCTGAAGCAAGGATTTCTTTAATCTTTCTACAGACACCTGCAGTCTCTGTCTTACTAAATGATGCTTTAGCAATACCACAAAGGCATAGAAGTGTTTTCTCAAAACAGTGTGTTTTCCTTTCCTACACCTGCCAGAAAGGGGGATAGATAAAGGCAGACTACCAACATCTTGGCGCCTTAACCGGCTGATCAGACAAATACGAATATTAATCACTATTAACGTCAAATGGGGAAAATTCAAATCATTGTTTCTCTTTACCCTTAAAGCTCCAAAGCATTGAAAGAGACACAGGGAAATCCTCACAGGATGGAGGAGAGGCCGGGAGGTGCCCGTCCCAGGAAGATGGGTACTTCTGGTGCCCCTCGCTGGAGCACGAGGCAGAGAACAGCCGCCTCCCTGGGAACTGTAGTGCCCGCTTCCACGGTGCAGTTACTACTGGCTCGTCAAAGTAATACCTCCGAGGGACACTTCGGGAAGTGCGGGTGACCTCGGCCAAAGTTCACGGGGGTCTCATCTGTATGGGAAATCACGGCCAGGTCCACAGGAGAGAGGACCCCTTGGCGAGCTTCCTCCCAGCTACCTGCTGCTTCCCAAACAGTGGCCAGACATGGGCTGCTCACAGGGCTGGGATCAAACAGAGCCGAGAGCTGCCGCTGCTCCATGCGGACCCAGAGACTGACCAGGTCACCGCTCAGCTCTAAAGTTCCTCCAGGGGCCCAGACCTCAGACAGCCTCCCGTTGGGGGCAAAGATCAGACTGGAGCAAGAAAAGCAGTTAGGCTTGCTAAGCTGTCCTTCCCTTCCTGTCATAAACATTTGTCTTAAGCCCCTCCGTCCTGTCCTGTCCTTGAACGTTGGCCAGATGAGTGACAGACAAATGCAAATCACAAATGCAGTGCTGACTTTTTTTCTCCTAAGCGTTAGCTTCTGTTGGCAGTGGGGGGAGGGCTGTCATAGGGTGATCTTTCTTTCCACCTATTTTTTTTACACTTTTTACTGATGAAATCATCTCAGAATTATAGAAATTTCACCAAAACAGTACAAAAAGTACTAGTTAGCCAGATTCTTCAAATACAGAAGAATCTTAGCCCGCCTATCTGCTTTATGGCTCTCTCTCTCTCTCTCTCTCTCTCTCTCTCTCTCTCTGGAGGCACCTACTCACACAACTCTTTGTTTTAAACATCTGCAGCCAGGATGCCCCCTTGATCTCGATGCACTTCACTGCATATTTCCTCAGGCCAAGGCCAAGGCCTTATGTGATCACAGTCCAATGCCCAATCTGAAAACCAGCATTGATAACAGTATCCATATCAGACCCACAGATCCTATTCAAATTTCACCAACTGTCCTATTGTGACCTTCCAAAGGGACAGCTCTCTAGGGCTCTAGGACTTGAGTCACTGTCACTGGCTCCCTCTGCTCTGAGGAAGCCTCAGGTCTGGCTCTTACAACCTCTGATTTAGTGGTCAGAGGACAAGGATGCTGATGATCAACCCACAATGCTCAACTGGGCCCTTCCCAACAAAGATGGGGTCTTCCCTGAGACCAGAGAGCACATTTAGCCATTATTTTAGTTTTGTGGTTTGGAGCCACAACTGGCAATGCTCAGGGCTCACTCCTAGAGGTGCTCGGGGGACCCTATGGGGTGTCGGAAATCGAACCAGGCAAACACCCTCCCCACTGTACAATCGCTCTGGCCCCCTGCCCTGAACCATTTTGAAGAATGAATCGTATGAGATACAAAGAGATGAAGAAAAAAGAAAGGGCATAACCAAGACAACATACAAACTTAGACTGCAAACAGATGGGACGAAAGCAGATGATGAGGACAGTATGGAGGACAAGCAGGGGCTGAGACCCATCAGATGGGCAGGGACTGCACTGGGTCTCTGGGATGTGCTGATGGTGCTCACGTTGCGGGAGAGACGGAATCTTACCCGTACGATGCAAGCTGGAGCCCTGAGGGGTGATGGGCCGTGGGGTCTGCAACTTTCTTTCAAAGTGTTCAGACAAAAACCAGGAGAGAGAAAGACCAGAGAGGAGGCAGAGTAAGGAAACAAAGGAAAGAATAAAGCACGCATAGAGAAGCAAAGCAATCCAGGCTGAGTGCCAAGTCGCCATAGGCTCTCAACTTTTCTCCAGGCCGGAAAAATGTCTAAAATCAAGAGTCTGGGCAGTGTATCAAGGTTCCAGGAGTCCAGCCCAGGGCCTTCCCACATGCTGGGTCCCAGATAAACCTACCAAGTCCCATTCTTGGCCCCGATAAACCTCCTGACGCCTTCCAAGTCCCACTGTGCTTTTTCACACCACAACAACAACGCAACTCTGAATTTCTATTACATTACTGAGCTCTACTGAGTTGTTCTTACGTAGCAACCAAAGGGTACCAGGCACTCCTTGACACAGGGCTAGGACCACTCACACATGCATCCACTCCGCAAGCATTCCTCCATCTCTGACCACATGCTGGGTACTGCCACAAGTCCAGAGGACAGACAAGTGACATGAGAAGAGAAACACGGTCACTGCCCATATACACATCCAGGGCCCCAGTGGGGCAACCCAACACTCAGCAACCAATGACACAGCTAACTCTTAAACAACAGGTACAGCAAATGCTTTGGGGGTGTGTGTAGGATGGGGTGCCCTGAAACATACCACAGTCATACCGCGAGGCATGGCCTATGGCAGGCTTTCAATA